GATTGATAACCCACTTTGATTTATCGATCGCCGTTGATTTTGGATTGTTGACTTCATCATTCTGAGATGAAGATTTCTCCTTTAATAATTTGTTGAACTGTTTGATTTGACCATTTTTTGACTTTTTGAAAGTGGCTGATTTTGCATTGTTGGAGGATTGTGTTATAAGATCATAGTCTACATTGGTAACTATTCCTTCTAACTTTTGTTTTAATTGCTCAATTTCACATCTGATATGTTGCAACTTTTTAACGATTCTGTGGATCTCTTCTTTCAGGCATAATTTTTGTAGCTCCAGTATCTCACCTCATCATACTGCATCATTGCTTTGTATCAAATAAACTCATCTAATACTGAAGTGAACTCACAACAATACTCCAACCAAACATAAATTAAAAGGAAAATACTTTAATATTTTTGAAAAACGTGCGTGAAATCAACTTCCTAAAGCAATAAATGTGTTGTGAAAATTTGTTTCCCACGATATTACTCCAGTCTAGTGGTGAGTGAATTTAGAATGCAAACGAAAATGATAATTCACAAAAGAAACACATGTTCATGGAAAATGTACCTCAGACTGCCTCAGTATGCTCACTTATTTATAATAAAGATAATCATTATAATAAAAGTTTTTGTATTTCCCAATGAATGAAAACAAAACGATATTGTTTTTGCTGACGTTTCGCCATTTAATGCTAATAACTTTATCAAAGTATTATTAAACCGGAATTTACAAAATCTCAGCATAAATATAACCACACGCACACCCAGGGTGTGGCTATCATGATGTCTCCAACACCAACAAAGGCCCTGATGCAATGGGAGGCGATCTCGTCCAGGATGATGACCGCCAGATTCAACTCCACAGGAAGGAAAGTGTCAGTTATACAATGCTATGCTCCCACAAACAACGCAGACCTCGAAAAGAAAGAAGAATTCTAAAGACAACTGCAGGTAACAATGGACAATACTCCAGCTGGCGACATTAAAATACTAATGGAAGACATGAACGCCAAACTAGGACCAGAAAACACAGGAAGGGAACTCATCATGGGTAGAGAAGCTCTCGGAGAAATGAATGAAAATGGAGAACTCTTTGCCAACTTCTGCGCCTTCAATGAACTAGTGATTGGTGGCAGCGTATACAAACACAAAGATATCCACAAGGCTACATGGGTGTCACCAGACGGGCAAACCAAAAACCAAATTGACTTCATTTCAATCTCAAGGAAGTGGAGGTGCAGTCTACTGGACACAAAAGTAAGAAGAGGAGCAGACGTTGGCTCAGACCACTATCTCGTACAAGGGACAATCCAAATCAAACTAAAAGCTTTCAGAGAATCACGAGCTGCAGATAGACCACTAGCCAAATTCAACACTCGAAAGCTGAAGAACCAGGCTACAAAGGACATATTCATTGCAAACATAAGGGAAAAAGCCGAAACACAAATCAACACCAGCGAAAAGGTCAGCGTCGAAAAGCACTGGGACAACTTGAAAACGGTGTGGAGTCAAACCTGCATAGAAGTTCTAGGCAGAAAGAAGAGACAGGACAAACAGTGGCTCACTACGGACACTTGGAAACTAATAGAAGAGAGAAGGACAGTGAAACAAAAGATTATCCGGGGCACCGACGAGCAACAAAAACAGGATTTGAATGCAAGCTACAATACACTAAACAAAAGAGTAAAGAAGAGTGTCAGGGAAGAAAAAAGAAAATATTGTGTAGCCATGGGAAGTGAAGCAGAACAAGCTGCAAGCAAAGGAGACCTCGCCACGCTCTACCAAACAACTAGGAACCTATCGTGCAAAAGTTCGAAACAGATTAAGTCGGTAAAGGATGACAATGGAAAGTCAATCACCAAAGAGGTGGAACAGAGAAAACACTGGGCTGAACACTTCCAAAGACTTCTAAATCGTCCGCCACCTACATCGCGCCCAACAATACCAACAACGGAAGCAGAACTACCAGTGAACATCAACCCCCCGAAGAAGTCAGAATTCCTGAATGCAATCAAGATGCTAAAAGCTGGAAAAGTAACAGGACCAGATGGAATCCCAGCAGAAGCATTGAAAGTGGACCCAGAGAAAACAGTGGACTTGATGACACCATTACTGGAGAAGGTGTGAGAAAAAGGTAAAGTACCCGAGGATTGGAAGAACGGATACTTATTCAAACTTCCAAAGAAAGGAGACTTAAGTCAATGTAAAATCTGGCGCGGAATTATGCTCCTGCCCATCCCAAGCAAAATACTCAGCCGCATCATCTTGGAGAAAATCGAACAAACCTTTGAGGAAAAACTTCGACCGGAACAAGCTGGATTCAGGAGAAATGCTTGAAATGGCAGTCACCTCTCTATCTCAACTTCATCGACTTTGAAAAGGCCATCGATAGCGTCGACTAAGAGGTGATTTGGCAACTACTTCGCTACTCATGGGGTCCCATCGACAATTATACATCTCATCCAACAGTTGTACGACAATGCTGCCTGCCAAGTAATACACAACGGGAAACTTACGGAATCCTTCGAAGTAAAGATGGGAGTAATACCAGCTGGCTGCCCACTATCGCCAATGATCTTCCTGATTGCAGTAGACTGGATAATGCGACTAACAGCGGGCGATGAGGAAACAGGCATAAAATGGACTCACACAAAGACTTGGAGGATCTGGACTTCGCCGATGATATATTTCAGATTTCCCACAAACTTGGAGATATGCAAGTGAAAAGCAACAAGTTGGCAGAATAGGCACCCAGAGAAGATATGCCTTCAGGTGAACATAGAGAAAACAGAGGAAATCAAGATTCCTGATCAACAGCAACAGTAACAACAACATACAACAATCAGCCAGCATAAATCGGAGGAACCTGAAAAAAACAACCTCCTTTACCTACCTACCTGGGAAACATCGCTGTTTCAACTACACGCGGCAGAACTGACGAAAATATCAAAGCCGGAATCGGGAAAGCAAGACAAGCTTTCATTACTCTCAAGTGTGTGGAGGTCAACAGCACTCAGAGTCAAAAATAAGATCCGGATTTTCAACTCCATTGTGAAGTCAGTGGTACTCACTGTACGGAACTGAGACTTGCACTGCGCGTCATAAAGAGCATCTCAAACAGACTACACACCTTCATTAACAGTTATCTTTGCTCAATACCCGAGATCAAATGGCCAGAAAATATCAGAAACAAGGGTCTCTGGCAATGAGCGAACCAACCAGGAACCGATTGTGCAGCAAATAAGCAGGAAGAAATGGAGATGGATTGGCCATACTCTGAGGAATCCATCAAGTGACACCACTAGACAAACCATTGCTCGAGTGGAACCCGAAAGGGAAGCGGGCGGCGAGTTGATCGTCAGTGTGAGGGTGACTTGGAGGAGGTCATGCGAGGAGGAGATGAAAGCATGTGGGCAGACTTGGAGCGGGGTGAAAAAGTTGGCAGAAAACCGAAGGCGATTGAGACGCGCGGCTGAAGCCATATGTTCCTCTGGGAATTAAAGGATATAATATATATATAACATAGTTATGCGATGAGAAAATAGACTTCGGTCAAGTTAAAGGGATATATTGAAAGTCAAAATAGCAGTGAAGATCACTAAACCAAATAACAACGGTAACAGTACATCTGTTATGATATCGAAATAAAGTTTACTAACATGATCATCGTTCGTCTATCTGGGGTCATTTTTCGTTGTCAAGTTGGTCAACTGGTAAAGAAAGCAAGATCAGGTGTAGATTGTTGGATTTGATCAGTGTGTAAAATTATAAAAGTAGTGCGTGTTTACATAGTGAACTTGTTTATCATATGTGTGTTGATTTTGTCACTTCATGGAGGAGGGAGGTGTTGTAGCCAGGTCAGATTTTGTTTTAGTCCATCATTCCTATTCAGGCATTTTGGATTCCACTTGATATGAAGTGCTTCTGATACTAGATGTTCTTTGTGATTTCTGAAGTTTTTCTGGATTATTTCAATATTGTCAAAATCAATTTTGCAGCCTGATTCCATAGTGCATAGACGTATGACTGATGATTTTTAAGTTTTTCTAGTTCAACTGGATTTTTCGGTGGTCCAACAGATGCTCTACGGTCTTCATTTCTTCTGATTTTGATTTCTCGAGATGTTTGTCCGATGTATATCGTATCACATTCCAAGCATTTTATTTTATAGACACAATCGGATAGAGAATCTCTAGGGGTTTTGGTCTTTTATATGGACAAGGTTGCTTTGAAGTGTGTCTGATGCCGAGCTGACTGAGTACTCTTCTGGTATCGTCTGACGTCTCCGGTAAACACATAATCGCTAATCAAGCATACACAGCTTCATTTCACAGTAGACAGCTCTAGTGTCATAGAAAAAGTGAGAATAATGAGGGAATCCTTTTAACTTCAAGAAGTAATTTAGTTAAAAATAACTATGACAAAAATCAGGATAACTTATTGACCCAAAATGGAGCAAGCATACTGAAACGCCTCATTACATGCTAGATCCGGGTTTATGTTTCACTTCCGGTCAATACTCCACCACCCCATTATTCGTAATCTCCTTTATCACAAACCTTATACTCCTAAAATAAAAATTAACAACTTGCTTCGTTAAGGTGCAAAAGTCCTAATGTATTTTGTACAAAATAAAACACAGAAGAATAGTCAATCCCATCGACTGTCATTTAGGCTGCATTTTATGAAGACCATAACCATATATTGATTGCACTGAAATGATGCGATTAAATCTTTCCAGTGTTACTGAAATGACAAGAAAGTCTAATTGTCTTTTGGTGCTGCTAACCTTGAAAGAAGAAATATTTCTGTCTTTCTGAGTTAAAAGTATCATAGTGATGCTTAGTTGAACTGTTGTGTTTCTGCAAGTTTCCTATAAAAATTTAATCGCGACATCAACTAGTGTAAACATACACTGTTATAAACAGCTAGTTAAAAGTTATCAGATAATAATATAGTTGAATAATTTCGTTGCATTTTTGTTTATTTTGTTTTAGAGGAGTTGTAGACGTTGTTGGGTCTTTCCTATCAGTAATTCTAGCCTACTTTCTTATGAAATTCGAGGGAAAAAGAAAAAGTGTTATTGAAGTGAAAGCCTATGAAACTGAAGATGTAGAACGATTGGAAAATATAACAAATCAATCAAATTCTCATCACAAATTGGTTGCACTTGTGATTGCTCTTAGCATAACACTGATACTGTTGATTTGCAACAGATTTCTAGTTGGCATAGCCTATATGTTTTCCGTTCAAACTGCAAATCTTCTTGTTTACATAGGTAAGTTTACGTTTTCTATTGGATGTAAAGGTTTCTCATTTTTCATATATTTGGCTCCCTCGATAAGTTTCGACATAGAAAGAAAGACCAGATTTGCAGCATAAAATGGTATCATTCTATTTCAAAGGCTCTCACGAGCTGCAAACTATCTGAAGATAAAGTGGTTATAAATAATGGCAATAACATACTTCAATGTAGAGAAAATGTTGTAAGATTACCACATCCAAAATATAAGCATTACAATTTTTACTTCAAGTTACCATCAGTTCGTATGCCTTCATAGTAGAAAAAGAGTGAATTATGGGGGATACAGAGAACAGAAGAATCGGATAAGCAGTGTCAGCAAGTAGGTTTACATAGCAACTCAAGAAGGTTATAGTTTATAAAATTGAAAACGTGCTCAGTGAGCTGAAGTCACTAATATGGTTGGCCAATCAGTGTAATCAAAATCTAGTTACCAAGGGACTGAGCGATTGATTGCATTCTCTGTCTGAATAAATAAGTTTGGTTTGAAAGGTTTGATTGCTATTGCTTCATCAAATCCTAGTAAATTGATTATCCTCTGTATGTTTAGTATCTTGAGAGATTTAGAAATCTTGACGAAATGACCCATATCCACAAGGTATCTGGTTATTGCACTTTGCGAATATCCACTTCGCTTTGGACATAGTTTTCTTGGGATATGCTCTGAAAACCGGATAGAAGCGCTTCTTTTTGTCCTTTCAATGTATTTGCTGCCACAAGTGAACGTGAATTTATAGACGCAGCTGAAGGTGACATCAGCAAGGTGCTAATACAGTTTGGATTGTCTTAGAGAGTATGTAGTGCTGAATAACGTTACGAGCTTGGCTGCAGGGAGGCATGTTTTTATTGCTTCTTTCGTCTTCTTGTCAGTCGTTCTTGTGACTGCATCTCTTTTTGAATGGGAGACAAATCAGCACCTTCTTCTTTTCCACAGTTGGATATTTCGTTTACTCGTCCTTCTCTTTGCTGCACTTTCAGATATACCCCCTTTGAATACCCATTTTCCCTTAGACATTTTTCGATAAGACCTACTTCTTCCTCCATATTGTTAGGCGAACAAAAATTCCTGGCTCTGTCGTACAGCGTCTTCACTAACCCACGCTTATAGCTTATGGGATAGAAACTGTTATATTGAAGATACTGTCCGTCCACGTTTCTTTTCTGTAGATGGATTATTTGACCGTACCGTTATTTCTTATTCTTGCATTAAAGTCCAGGAAATTGGACTCATCATTATGTTCATATTCCGTGGTGAATTTAATGTTTGGGTGGATCTCATTAAGACGGTCGAATGATACAGATTTCTGACTCATTTCATTACAAACAACAAACGCATCATCAACATATCGGCAATAATAGGTTATTTCATTGACAGCAGAACTCCGTCGCGTTTGTTCGAGAGAACTCAAGAAGATAACTGCCAGAAAAGGTTCTAGAGGAGAACCCATGGCTACCTCATCAATTTTCGATAAATTTGGTTGTTAAATTTGGACTGTATGTCTTTTGTGCAGAGAGGTAGTAAACGCTTCATATTTGTTTCCGGTAGTGGTAATAAATCTCTTTGTTTAAAATTGATGTCGATTGTTTCCATCACTGATATACACGAAGATTGAAGAATTGGCTTTATTCAGTGTGACATTTTTCATGTATCTGTTGTCTTAATTAGGGGACCAATTTTTTTATTTTCCTTTTTAGCCATCCTACCGAGATTAATGAAGTCTTTCATTGTCCCGGTGTTGAGAACCATGTTTATATTGTGTACTGCTTCCAGCAAACACGGTGAATGTGGAAAGTATTTATATTTGGTAAATCACTTCAAAATAACAAAGACTTGTAATTTTGTGAAATCTACACAATGATCACTGACGCAGAACGTGTGGACTATGAGAAAATCTCAAAAGAAAACAAGGATTCATTTCACTTGTTCAGAATATTTCATTGAGTCATTACTTACAATTGGAATAGTATTAATTAAATACTATGCATCATTTTATTTCTTAAATATCCTGTGTGATAGTAACGAATACGAAGGCATATTTTGTTTCAGAATGATGAGGATTGTTCATGTTCCTGCAGGTTTAAAACATTCAACAGACATCATGGTGAACTTCCTGATACACTGTGCTCCTATTCACCGACTGATTCTAAATCCGTCTCTGACAACTTATTGAAAACTCTCCGAAATAATATCAAAACAAGATTTATTTTTTTTTATTACAGCCTGATTCTACACTGTATTTTTGGTACAAGTATGGAATTTTCAGCATGGATATCGGTAGCCCAATTTTGCAGGCCAACCATAGATATCAGGTGTGAGTCGGCAGGGGATCGAACCTCGGACCATGTGCATGGTCAGCGAGAGTCCTAACCACTGTGCCACTGACGCACATCTAATTCCTCCAGCACATTCTGTGTTGATGAGCAACACAAGTAAACTGAGTGTCACACTACTTGTATTGACATGAGTTACGAAGAAATAGTGGATAAAAATAAATACGATATAAATATCCAGATTAGAGTATGAAGAAATAAAAGTTGTAAATTACGTCGTACTCATCGGTACAAAGTTAGAAATTTGACAAGGTTAAAAACTGCTATTGACTAAGAGTAAAGTCAGTTGACAGTCAGTTTAACAAGTGTCAAGAGGGTGTGAAAATGTACAAAAGGATTATATGAGAGTGATATTAGTGAACTAATTATTGAAGTAAAAGCGAACTAAAAGTAAAATTGAGAATTGAAAAAAAACTAAATTCTTTACAGCGAACGACTTATGAAGAGGTTGAAACCTAGACAGAGACCTAGATAGGGAGACTGGACAACCTTTTTCTGTATACAAAGTTCGGAGGTGTATTGACGAATTGCCAGTGCCTCCGCCATACACAAAAGCCGATACCTAACGCCACTTGTACCATTTGGCCTCATCTTTTAGATGATCTTGAAAGACGATTCTGGTGGAGCTACGTAGCTTGAGTTCACCAAGTGCTCGAGAATTGAGCCAGTAATTGTCTTGGTTTGTCCTTTCGCTAACCATGCTGGATAAATTTCGAAGATGCGTTTGGAAAGTGTGAGCTTTGTGCGGCCGATATAACTAGCTCCACACGAGCAGGTGATTTGTAAACACACATTGAAGTGGCTCAAAGCGGCAGCTTATCCTTCACACATACACTGATCATTTGTCCACCTGTAAAGAAGGCTTTCCTCAGAAATCTGGATAGGCGATTCTTCAGGATCTTAGCAACAGTAGGCATTCCTCCCATTTCATCATGATCAACCAAAGACAAATCTGCACTATCATGATCATTATCACAAATATTCAATTTACCATCATCTATCTGGTCGACTTCATCATTTTCAAACTCTTTAATAACAGCAGTGGATGATTTGGGTTCTTCCTCACAAATCCCTAAAGATTTTATACCTTCACTCTGACTAGTAATACCTTGCAAACTTCTAGGGTCAGAACTGCACTCTGAAGCAGTAAATCTATTCTGTGAAACTCTATTCAACAATGGCTTACCAGTTGCAACTACAGGCTTCTTCACCGCACCGTTATCGTCACACAACTCGGAATCAGGCCTGGAGTTTACATTTAGCTTATCACTGAACTTGCTCACCGGTTCACAGTTCACCTCTGTATGCACCTCTTGCACACGTGTAAAACACAACCGTGTTTGTCTTGCATCTTGTAACTTATCTGTTGAGGATGTACTACGAAACCTGTTACACTCACTAGGTCTATATGCATTACTAGACATCATGGAGCCTTCTCGATATCCACCTCTTTGATGCCTATTCGTCATCAATGATTGCGTTTTGCCCTCACACTGCTCTATTCTAGGGGTGAGATGCAATAGACTGGCAAACTTGCTCATAGATAGATTGACGCTATCTTTTACCAGTTTCAGAATGTCATCAAACGTTGGCTCGATACCCTCATCCTCCATACGGGAGCTTATCTTCACCCACTTCCTTTGCAGTCGAGTAGGTAAACGTCTTGCTATTACTTCTAGTATAAAACTCGAGTTGAGGTCACTCATTCGATTCATCGAAATCATTCCATTCTTATAAATTAGCAAATTATCTAAAAACTCAGTGAGTGCCTGGGAGTCATCCTGTAATTCACCACCATTACCCATAACAACCTCGAATAATTTCCTTGCAATCATTGAAGGTCTTCCAAACATTTGACTTGATATGCTCATAGCCTCACGTAGCCCCTTTTGGCTTCAAAACCTACAGCACTGTTTAGCTCTTGCAGCATCACCAGTGCAATATCTCATCAAATACATTAACTTCAATTCATCATTTAATAAAATACCACTCAACATGATCTCAAACTCCTTTACGAATTGCAAATAATCAGTCGGGTTTCCATCGAAACACCGTGGTTCAAATTTAGGAAGTTTGGCGTTCCTATTATCCCTGAACGGCGAAACAGTAACATCAACCATGTCATGCTTTACATCAGACACATCGTTACAATTAACAGACAAGTCACCATGACTTACTTTCCTGTTTGCATCCAAGACACTCTGTCCCTTCTTTGACCCAGGCATTGTTGAACTTGACCCAATTCCAAAAAAGTTCCAGATATTGCTTGTTCAAAGAGGACTTGACCGGCACCAGGAAAAATGAACGGCGACTATCCAAACTGTAACCAACTGTCTGAATCCGTCGGAAACTGACGCCGTACCGTCAGAAACTGTCAGACACGTCTCGTAAACCGTCAATGCCCAGCTGTTGCTACGCTGGGACTCACGCTGTCGCTTGAAGTTTTTCAGAAACGCTTAGTAATAACGGACGCAAAAACCAAAACACCGATTGGCGACTCGAGAATTCTTTATTGTAACATCAACATATAAAAAATATTACCAATAAGTTTTCTGACGGTTTTTTGCTCTTCTTCCTGAACAGCGACCGATGAGACGATGACTGTCGTATAGATGCCTCCGCGAAAATTGGGGAATTTGGTTCTGAGCAAACAACGATGAATTGATCGTTCAATCTTCAACTACATTGACAGCGTCCACTTGACACCTTGCAACACAGTCGCCACTTGCTAGAATGAATCTTCCAGAACGCGACGTGACCATAGCACCACCTCATGATACTCTTCACACTTCCTCTTATCCATTCACTATCAATTACCACTGCGATCGCTTGTCACTCATTCTGGCTCAGTTCTAGTAACGGTGACGCATGCAAGCCTCCATCCTCTACACTCTCGCTCCCCGGCGTGTGGGACCACAGCTTAAATAGAAACATTCATTACATAGAGGATTTCATTGTGAGCTGACATCAGTCAGATAACCACTGGAAAACCCTGGAGTACTGGACAGCTGTTTCGTCCTAGTTTGGGACTCCTCAGCAGTACGCACCCACCGGGGTTCGAATCCAGGACCTTCTGGTTACAAGGCGAGATCGTAGACCATTGATCAAGCGATCCAACGGTACTTGAATTCTAACTTCTGCCAATTCACGATATAGCGCCACCACTTCGAAACTAGGACGAAACAGCTGTCCAGTACTACCAAGTTTTCCAGTGGTTCATAACTGATGTCAGCACACGATGAAATCCTCCATGTAATCAAAATAATTCCCTACAAAACTAATACTAGAAACATTCATTCTCAATCAATGATTCCACAGCTAATCCTTATCTCCGTGTGCATGTCATTCTCAGCAATAGCCTCCCCGGCGTACACGAACCATCTGCTGTCCTTAACATCAATCAATTCATTCACGGATGTAGAAGACTCGAAACAACTTCAGAAGTAAGCACGAAGAAAATCTGAACAAAATTATGCAATAACAACAATGTACGGAAACAACAAGTAAACACAGTGAATCCAAAAACACCAATTGATATGACACACCACACGTATATACAAACAGTACACACAAACTCGCGGATCATATCTTGATGGAATTCCTTTGAAGAATCGCAGGACTTACACCAGTACACCTGCAACCCTTCTCAAGTTGACGATTGTAAGTTGAAGAGTGACGGGCACAAACAAGATTAACCAAAAGATGGATGAGAGATGATACCAAATCGATATATAGAACATGGACATGTGTACAAAATAACACACCAAGTACGATGGACTGCGCTTCGACGTAGTACCCTTGAAGAACTGTAGGACTTACAGCATTATGCCTACAACCCTTCTCAGGTTGACGCCCTTAAGTTGGAAAATCGTCTCAGAGTTCATTCACTGACTTCCTTCAACCATCCATATCCTTAATTCTGAATGGTGACACGCCCATGACATTGTATCGTAGAATATAGATGACGAACAAACATACGACGTATCCGACCAACCAAGCGTAGGCACAGAGTAACTTACACCAACGATAATAACATTCAGATAGTAACTTGAAACTTGAAATGCCTTTATTCGTGCAAGTCAGTTTAACAATTACCCTCTCGTTTACACTTGGCTTATTCTCACTAAACTGAGCAGTATCTTTCGGCTTTTCAAATGCACCAATACTATCAAAGTCATTGCACAAGATACTTGAGTTGATGGGCGTCTGTTTCATTGTGGATGACAACACCAACGACAACTGAATGATACCAGTTGATGAACTTAGCGGTGGATCAGAAGGTGTTGTTGTTCGGCTTTCAGAAAATTCTCTAACTGCAAGATTACTACCACTACTGTCTTTTACTACTAGTTCGGGTTTAGCACTATCATCTGATGATAGGTGGGCTACATGCTGATCAATCAAACTGACGTTCTGACAAGTATATATGCCTGCTGCAACTGCATTTACTTCTACTTCACGTTGTAGATGTACAGAACCCTTATTTAACTTAGCAGTAGTAGGCATTCCCCCCATTTCATCATGATCAACCAAAGACAAATCTGCACTATCATGATCATTATCACAAATATTCAATTTACCATCATCTATCTGGTCGACTTCATCATTTTCAAACTCTTTAATAACAGCAGTGGATGATTTGGGTTCTTCCTCACAAATCCCTAAAGATTTTATACTTTCACTCTGACTAGTAATACCTTGTAAACTTGAAGAGTCAGGAGTAAACTCTGAAACTGTAACTCTCGTCTTCTGTACAAACTGCGGTCTTGTCTGTGACACTCTATTCAACAATGGCTTACCAGTTGCAACTACAGGCTTCTTCACCGCACCATTATCGCCACACGATTCGG